CCCCCCATATTTTGTAGTGAGCGTTCACTCTGCGACACCCGTGAAACGCGCTCCCAGTGAAGTCAAAAACTCACAGGCGGCAGATAACAATAACGATGACATATGCTTATTATTGAGGCGTTTGATCGCGTCAGGGGAGAGATTCAGAAACCACACACTCACACACATAAATACACATCAAGGAAGTGAAAACATTCCCTATTCGATACTGTCTTAGGAATTGCTTTCCTACGATTGGCCAAGATCCCGCTGTTTTAGGGTTTGTCCTTTTAACCCTGCAAACTCCTGCAAGCTTGAGAACTGAAACCTTGCTGAAGGCAGTGATTTTAGAGAGTTTTTACAATATTTCCTCAATTATTCTTCATCAAATTCGCTGTTCTCAACTGAACCGCACGATCGTGGTCTCACTCAAGCCTTTCCTTGGCGTTACAAGGGCTAGGTACAACTTAAGCACGAAATATCTCGAGAAGACAAAGTTGCTGATAGGTTTACTTATAAATTAGAGGGTACAGTGTACTCAACTGTTAAACATGACGCGGGAGCGGTGGCCGGAGAGACTGCATGCGCCATGTACCGGCTCACTCTGGAAGCTTATGCCGCTGCTGTTTTCTGGAGTTACACTCCCAGCTCCGAAACAATCACCGATGCGTGACTCGGCGATAAAAAAAACGCTTTTTGATTTTTTTTTGTTTGTTTAAAGAAGGTGGCCTTTATTAGAGAAACTGCAAGATCACCGAGATATGGTAGCCCGGCATGGTAAATGCGTAGATGTGACTAAACAGACTGGAGAAAACAACAAAACAAACAAGTAAAAATTTAAAGCGTGGGTGATAAAGAAAAGAACGAGGAGGTCGTGCAATAATTGTATCGGGGAGTGGCGACAATCCCCAGAAGAGCCGGCTTATTCTCTGCCGCATCATTGATTTAATCGCTAGACAGCTCTGGTATCAGCTTCGGCCACCGCTCCCGCGTTATGTTTAACAGTTGAGCCACTGTACCTCATTCGGACGTCGTTCCCCTGGCACAAGCCTTCGATGATGCTTCGCTTACACGAGCACGGACGCTGTTCATTTGGCATCTAAAGCACAATCAAGAGGCAGAAGCTAGAGTTGGGGTAATTAAATAAATCCGCTCCGCTTCTCCAAACCTGCCAGCGACAACACATAGGAGGAAATCCAGTCATTTTCTATTTCGTCTTGAAAATGCGAAGAGGACCAGCCTGAGCTGGTTCAGCGTGCCCGCCGGATTGGAGAAGCCAACAGAGCCCTGGACTAAGGGCCCCGACCGGGACTCGTCAGTCTCCTAAGCTTTTGAAAAATAAAGTTATACCATCACCACCACCACCACCTCTATGTCAGTGAAGATGACTCATATCCGAGAACAGTTTTGGTGTGGGAGGGTCACCAATTTCACTAACGCTCAATTCTCTCCACATGCCGTCCGTACACATTCCATGCAAAATGCCCCTCATACCGGCGTCTCGGCGTCTATTACACGCGGACAAAAGCATGGCATTATGACGCTGACGAGGCACCACCGTTCGCGAAGCAAACGTGGCGCCTAATCCATCTCACTAACGTCGCGCCTTAGACGCTGCGAGAAAAAAAAAAACACTCTTTGGCGGGTTTATTAGACGCACACAGGAACCCTAATTAAGCAGCGGGGAAGGCAACAAGCATTCCCTTGGAGGCCCCACGGCGCCAACCTCACGCAAGAGGCACGCGGAGTCCCACGCCTCGTCGTCCTTGGGCACGTCGGTCGTTAGAAGTCAAACTCTTCGGAGAGAAATCTCGTGACAATGGGGCGACAGGCGTAATGGATTCGTCAAGCACCACGAGGCTAGAAAAGAAAAACATTCCATTGGTTGTCTAAACCATTGTTGCGTACAGAACCGTGCGCAACGTATTACCCAGTCACTGACAACGTAAAGAACTCGAGGGCGTGGCGACCTCCGTGCGAGTTATTCGTTCCTATGCGGAGCGCAAGATCGTCTGCTTCTTTCGCAGGGGCTGTGGTGACGTCACAAGTCCGAACTCTGATTGGAGGTATAGTGGGCAGAAATGAAGACAGCTTGCTGAGGTCTACCCACTGTCCTTCAATCAGAGCCAATCGGAGCTCGGCGTTCTGACGTCCCTACAACCTGTGCAAAGGAAGCAGACGAACTAGAGCTCCACATATATATAGTCAATGAGTTTGCAACATAGACCGATAAGTACGCTGTAGAACGAACCAGAAAAGCAAGAGGCGCGTCCACAATCAGTTATGTGTTCTGCGTTTCTTGCAGTGACTATATACACCAACTCTGTGACGTCACGGCACTGCGGTGGCGCTGCGGTCGCCACTGCGCGTGCGCACACGCTTCACAGGAAGGCTGGCTTCTGCGCTCGGGAAGTGCCCACTCCTGGCGAGTCCTATACTTCTTGTTATCTTTCCGCGGGGAATAAGTTGGCGGAAAAAAAAAAACGCGAAAAAAACATTATACAGCAAGAAGTTTGAAGCTAATATGCCACGTCGTTTTCTGGGCCCGTTTTCTCGAACGCGAACCGTGGTTTTAAGTTAACTATTGTCCCTAGGAGGGGGAATTCTAGGTCACGTGACTTGGGGAGCAGGGGTGCCGAGGGAGGAGCAGTACCTAGAAGCAAAATGGCCGTGGCGTCGCTCAACGAGGGCTAATAATTCTGCTTGGTTCTGCTGAAGATTAATTTCAATCCGGCTGTTATATTAATGACGCACCATCAACCTATTAGCACGTCAAGCAAAGCGGTAGTTCAGAGGGACTACTAAACTAACAGACGGCAGCATTCCGCGAACGCATCACTCTTCAGCAGTCCGGGATCCAAGACATATGACGGTACATAAGCCTTGCAAGTGTTTTTATGGCGAGTAAAAAAATGTTTTGCGAATGAGTGTTGGTATATATTTTTTCTAACACGTTTAATTTGTTACACTATGTATGCCAACTCGTGAGCAGCGATTACTTTGCGGATCCACAATAAAGTCTTCGTTCCTGGTGAACAGCTGGGACATTGTACTGTTGTTTTTTTTTTGTTCGCAGTGCGCCGACAGTATGCCGACAGCATCGAGGTTTCTACATATCCCCGGTGGCCAGCGATTCAACGGTGACAAGAAGCTGCTTCTCGTCACCGGTGGATTGGTTGGGCAAATGGAAGAGAGGGCAAAGAGTTGAGATCAGCAGGAATCGCAGAAACGTGCGTTGCAAGGAACAAAAACGAGACTACAGCACCGGCGTTGCCAGACTGGAAGGAACAGGGGAAAGTTATGCGTTGTTTATGGCGAAACATATTGAAGGAAATGTTTTTTAGATTTTCGAATATTCGTCGACAAACTATGGCATAGTAGCTAAAATTTCTTCGTACCATTGGAAGCAAATAAATTGGTCTTCAAGTACAATATTACTATATCTTGACTTAAAATACCATACTAGATCGATAACAACCAGCGGAAAAAGAGGATAAACAAAATGGCTGGCTTGTTTCACCGATAGATGGCGCATCTTATTGCCCAATCAAAAATAATTATTGTTGTTCTATATCCAGCCGTTTATTACAGTACCTAGGTACTTTTTCCTTCCTAGGCACCGTGGTTTACCAAAATGGGTTTACCATCGCTTCGAGAAAACCGGCCCTGGTGTGGTGGGCAAACGCTGACTTGTTTGTAAACGGTGTGTTGGATCTATAGAGGAATCAAATCCCGCTCACTGTAGTCATTGGCAGCACTAAGAAACGCAAAGCGCGGCCTGTTACGTTGATTAATATTCCCTCGTGATTCGTTCTTCTTCGTGGCTATTGGTTCATGCCGCGATCTCATTGATTGCGAAGCGTTAATCAGCCGTTCGGGACCAACGTACGCTCAGCGTTTCTTAATTTGTCGGTTACCGTAGCATTTTGTTGTCATCACAGTGAAATCGAGCCCTGACACAGATTTGACAGGGGTAATAGATAAACTTTCCAATAATTACTAGAGGGATCTACCAGGCTCTCTAGTTGTCCATGTACCACTTGAAGTAGAGGCAGTCCAGTCAGCCCCGGAGGGCCCTCCGCTCGGACACGTCCCCGGCGTATATGGTCTGCATGACGGGCATCTCCTTGTAGAAGACCTCCTTGTCCTCGTCCATCCAGACATGGAGTGAATGGTTCCATTCACTCCATGTGTTTGTGAAGCCTTTCTCGGGCTAAGGGCATTTCTGTTTTATCAACACAAGTACATATATTTACTCATAGTGTTAGGCAGCCATAGATTTGTTCGGTCGCGTCTTATGAGTATCTCAGTACTTCAACTAAGATCATTGTGAATTTCTATAAAAAAAAGATGCCATTGAGAGGTGGCATGTTTTGCCAATGTCAGCATCATGCGCTATTACCTGGGCGAAGGGATTAAAGAAATATTATTTTAAGACGGCCACCAATTGCAACCTAAGGAAAAATACAGAGCGCTGAGGTCTGCTGTATGGCGTATTAGTTGAATAGTTGAGCTTTAATGAATGGAAAATGAAATATTGTTTCTTCGTGATTCAAACGGCCCCAGGAGCCCAAACTTGCTTGTAACAAGAGTAAACAATATGCCTGGAGGTAATGTAATGTGTTTCTTTTTTAATTCTAAACTTTTACCTAAACATTCGCTCCCTTATCCTTAAAAAAAAATAATAATAAAGACAGTTGGAGTGTTTGCCACTGTTGAAGTCATAATGTGGTAACTATAACGCTGCGTATAATCAAGGAAATAATCCGAAATAATATGAATAGGACGCAGATTAAATGACTTTGCCATTATATAAACGTCTTCGGTGTTTTCTAAGCATGGTATTTACAATAAGAGAGAGAGAAAACTAACCTTGCATCAAGGAACCATAAGATGAAGATGATGCCAGACTGACGTATCGTTACCTTCTTAAACTGCCCATGCTGTACAAGAACTTTCGTCCAATGAAAAAAAAAAAAAAAAAGATTATGACAACCTATAATTGTTTAAAAATGCTACGATTGACAATCTCAAAATGGCTCAAATGTCATCAGATTATCATCAGTGTCACTCGGTGGCGCGAACTTTCTTTGCTCGTGGAACACAAGAACGCGCCCCAAAGAAAGGGTTCAAGCCGGAGCGCCCACGTCGCCGGACTGAGGCGTGTCCAGGGGCGGTACCCAACCCGGGTACACGTTATCCAGGTACCACTTGAAGGAGTGGCAGTCCAGTCGGCCCCGGAGGGCCCTCCGCTCAGACACGTCGCCGGCGTCTATGGTTTGCATGACGGGCTTCTCTTTGTAGAAGATCTCCTTGTACTCGTCCATCCAGACCTCGGCGGCCCGCTTGGTGTTCCGGGCGTGGCTGTCCGTCTCGTTGGGGATCGTGTACGGTCGGTCGGTTCGGAACACGTGGCCCACCTGCGCCCAATCAACTCCCAATCATATATCATCCATTATCCACCAGGGTTCAATGATAATATCGCAGGATAACCTGAAACAGACGTTCATGTTTCTTTGGCGTACCTGCCGATTTTAATTAATTAATTACCTGCCAATGTAATTCATTCAATCATTTAAGGGAGCCTTGGCCCGATCTAGGAATGAAGTGCCAAGTTGGGGTCGAATAGTTAGGATTTTTAAAGGGCCTCTGACACGCCAAAAAAATTCAAAGTGCCCGCCAGTGCCCTGTGTACGGCAGTGTACCGCAAGGTGTCGGGGCGGTCAGAAGGGAGGCATGCATCGACCTACGTCGCTAAATTGTGTTCGCCGGAAGTCACGTGAGTTTCACTCCTCGTGATCCCCAAAACCGTGCCTAAGACTTTTTTTTTTTTGTCTTCTCCACGAGCGATTGTAGAAAACGAAGTTTCCGTTCAACTAGCTTTTAATCACTGTACCGTTGGTATAGTTTGGGTGCTGTAAAAGTTGAGGACAAAGAGTCAGTAGATCGACGTGATGGAAATCAATGATGAAAGCGTTGCGAGTACAAGTCAGCGTACGAGTGCATGCCACCAGTCCGATAGTACAGAGCCATACTGGGCGCCAAACAAGCTACTAAGTTTTGAAGAAAAAAAAATTAGAACGCTTGCAGAAATTGGGATTTGTACCAAACGACACGCCCGATCGCATTGCTGAAGGTTCAGACACCGAGGTCGTCGAATCATCGGATAGTCTCCAGGCTGAAGATGTTTGCCGTTTAGAGAATACGAACTGGTGAGTGTCTGTGTACCAAGTACAAGTAAACGTCGAGCATAAAATACGTGTTTTGTGTAGAACATGAGCTGAGCAGAACTTGTTTACAAGATTCACTGACTCCTCTTCGTCTACCGTTACAGCAACATTAGGCGATGAAAATCAAATAAAAGAAACGCGGAAATGCGGAGAATGACAAAAATACAAGAAAAAGATATTACACGCGGTCGGGGTAAGCACGAGGAGTGATACAATTCACGTAACTTCCGGCGACGCCTCCCTTCTGACCGCCCCGACGTCTTGCGATGCACTGTGACGTAACAGTGTATCGCAAGATGTCGGGGCGGTCAGAAGGGAGGCGTCGCCGGAAGTTACGTGAATTGTATCACTCCTCGTGCTTACCCCGACCGCGTGTAATATCTTTTTCTTGTATTTTTGTCATTCTCCGCATTTCCGCGGGCACTTTGAATCGGGCTTCATATTTCTATTTTTATCAAAAAAACTACGCAACTCTAAAGTGAAACAATTTTTGGTGACATTCTGATACGCCATGTAACGCCTAGCATGAAAAAAATATTTTTTGGAGGGGGCGTGTGAGAGGCCCTTTAATGCGGCATTAACTGTCCCATTGAGCGAACCGGCGTTATCTGTTTTTGAAGCCCCTCCAAACGGTACCTAAACTCCCCTGTCCGAATGTAGCGAAGTCTGTCGTCTGTAGCAGCGTTTTGATGGATAGGCTCCCGTTGGCTCGGACGCGTCATAGTTTCAGGGAACAAGGCTCCCACTGGCTGCCGCGCGGCGTAGTTCCAAGGAACACCACCCCACAGGGAAGCACTTTCCATGGTGGCGCAGCGGCCCGGCCGCCGGTAAGAGGGAGCGGCTGGCCGCAGAGCCAGCAGAGCCCGCCCGGGCAGACTCCGGAGTGGTTGCACGGACAAGCTCAGCGGCGCGGTGATATTTGAATATTGGTTCTGGCATCACATTCATTTGCCCATTTTTTTATAATTATTCAGAGTTCAGAGATGCTAAACAGCATGCCGCGAATAGTAAAGCGATCGGGTATTTAGAAAACACAATGCCTTTAAGTTAGTAAAAAAAAAAATCGAGGACACTTAAGTACTTTTTATGAGTTGTGAATGCGGAAGCATGAATGCTGTTCTTCCGGTCCCTTAGTTCGTCCGCGACGTATACTGACGTGGACGGCCACGTTTCTCTACTGCCGAGGTAGCGGCCGACGGCTGAGCGCTCGTTCTCGTGAAGTGGCCGCGCCGCGCTGAGCTCGGCCGTGCAGCCTCTCCGGAGTTTGTCCATGCGGGCTCTGCGGCCAGGCCCGCACCTCTTCCCGGCGGCCGGGCTGCTGCGTGCGCTACGCCGCCATAGAGAGGACTTCTCTGGTGGCGTTTCTTGGAACTACGACGCGCGAGAGCCAATGGGAGCCTCGTTCTTTAAAACTATGACGCGCGCCAGCCAATGGGAGCCTATCCATCAGATTTAGAACTGTTACAGACGACAGGCTTAGTCCCATTGGGACAAGGGAATGTGCCGCTTGGCGCGGCTTCAAAAACTGATGACGTCGGTTCGCTTCATAAAACAGTTAATAATTTCGCAATAAAAAAAAATGCCGGCGAACCTTTTTAAGGAAAATGAATAGGAAAACCTTCTCGTATACCTTCTCGCTGTCCATTTGAAAATGCGACGAAGAAGCGACGTGCGCGGCCAAGAGCTTGGCTCTGGTCGGTTTTCTACGATTGGTCGGACGCAGGAAAGAGTTAAGAGCAATATCAGACTGTCAAATATGCCGGGCTTGGATGAAGAACGCGACAACTACAAGATTTTCCACCGTGCTTTTTGAACACACCATCGAGCTTGTATATGCTTGTGGAAGCCAGGATCAGAATTCGTGACGCCACGGTGAGGCAAATCATGGTCGTGACGTAACTGAGAGGAAGCGTAAGAGGGCAATGGCACGTAGAAGAAAAAGCCGTGCCTTTTCCCACCAAACGTCATCATATAGTGAATCAACTCAGCGCCGCCTTGTTTGTTTGCGTCGACGTCACCGCCAGCGCGTCGTGCGGCGTCTGACACAACGAGCGCGACGCTATGCGGAGCGCAAGTTTGTCTGCTTCTTTTGCAGGGGCCGTGGTCACGTCAGAACGCCGAACTCTGATTGGTTCTGTATGAAGGACAGTGGGTGGCAGCTGGCTTTGATGTTTACCCACTATCGTCTAATCATAGCCAATCAGAGCTCGGCGTTTTTCTGACGTCACCGCAACTCCTGGCCAGGAAGCAGACAACTTGCTCTCGGCATAGCAGCGGCGACGCCAAGATGGGCACGCGTCCGTCTGCCGCTTTGCGGCGACTCTCGTCGAGTTTCAGCGCTTTTGCCGCTTGGGGCGGCTCGGAGATCATCAAACAATGACGTCATTACGCGTGCCTTGTCCTCTAGAGGGCGCCGCCGAACAGTGTTGGCGGTAACGCGTTACAAGTAACGGCGTTACCGGAAACGCGTTACTTTTTTGGGTAACGTAGTGGCGTACTCGTTACTGTTTCAAAACAGTAACGGGTAACGTACTTTAGTTATTTCGAGTGACAGGTAACGGAGTAGTACGTGACTCCTTACTTTATCTTCCCAAGACTTAAAAAAAAAAATACTTTAATTTGTTTTCGTGTCGCCAAGCCCTGTAAATTTTTAAGTTTTTGGCGTTTCTCCTTGCGTTCTTTCTTGTGAGTGTTTAGGTGAAACCGTAAGAAAGATAAAGTAGTTATGTTCTGTTTCTGCATGAACATAACGTTTCTTGAAGTATAACACTTATGCATACCTGTAACCTCAAAACACTAAAATGTGCTAATTCATAATTTTAAAAAGTGATCAAAAGTAGCGTGTGTTACATTTATCGGTAACTGTAACGCTTTCCATTTATATTAAAGTAACGTAGGACGATGACACGTTTCTTTTATTTGCAAGTAACGAGTAACGTATTTCGTTGCTCTTTTTTTTTTTTTTTTGTAACGCCTACAACACTGTTGCCGGAACATCTAGGCGCCAATAGCCTCGCAGGGGGGGGGGGGGGAGCATAATCGATTCACGTATAGATGCTTTGAGCAGCTATGCATGGGCGGCGCCATAACCGACCTTAGTTTTTGCTTTCTCTTATTTCGTTTACTTCACTTCATCATTACCACAGCAGGAGAGGTTATTGACATTCTGGATTCTACTTTGTCCTTCTCCCCAGCAATGGCCATTCTGGAGACTCGTCAACGCCCGCTTCAGTGACTCGGCATCTCCGTAAGACGAGAGAAGGTCAGCAATGACGGTTGTAATCTGGCGCGTATGCAAAGCGTCTATACAACGATACGTCGCCCATCGAGCTTTGTCGGCTGACCTGCGAGCAGGGCACGACCACGAGGCGGCCTCCGCACATCCAGATGCGGAAAGAGAGCTCGAGGTTCTCTCCGCCCCAGCCGTTCATGCCGGGGTCGTAGCCGCCCATCTGGAAGAAGTAGGTCCTGTCCACGGCGAACAGTCCTCCCGCGATGGTGGGGCTTCGCACGGGCGTCGTCTGATCGGGACTCCGCCAGCCGGGCGGCGGATGGATCCAGGTGAAGTCGCCGTTCCACTCGAAACTCCCCAGCGGCAGGAACCCCATGTCCTTCCCCTGCAGCTCGCAGCACCAGCACAGCGAGTTTGGGAGACGTTGTAAATAACCATATAGTAGTCACTCACAGCTAGGGACCTGGCTTATTCTGTTTACGCTTGTTACTTCGAAAGTCGCTCTTCGGCGTTTTTATAGGCTAACGCCGCAACTGAATTCTACGCGGAGGGAGAATAAAATACCGATGACTCACCACACTTTCCGTTCGTTAAGCTGTCCCATATAAAGGCTGCAGTGGCTCGAGGAGCTTTACAAAGCTACAGCGCTCAAGTCTCGCTCGTTAACATCTATTATCATTTGACCAGAGAGCTAAACTTTTCTAGTAACCTAAGCGTGCCTGTTAGCGCCTTTTCGGAACGGGTCTTCTCTGTTATATAAGCTACTGCAAATAAATTCATGCACTGAAACTAAACGCGCATCATAGCTCGCATGTTTCAACTTCCAAGCAAACGTGAGAGGATCGGGGACTTGCGGGTCAAGTCTTCGAGAGAGAAATCCGACCCGAGCAGCAGCAGCGTACGAGCGTAACAGCAGCGCGGAAATGAAACCTCCCCCATTTTGCTCGGTCCATAAACTCCGTCGAGTCACGAATTACGAGCGAGAAAACGACTCTTTGCAACAGAAAGACGCACACGCACACACACTCATATCCCCCAAGGCCGGAGAGTGCAACTCCTCAGCAAGGGCATGGAGGACTCGGGACGACAACAACGGAAATGGGAAATGTCCGGAAATTGGCTAAAAAAGAAAGTACTTTGTAAACTTTCGGACGGCGACGATGACTAGCCGCGAGGCACCTGCGCCGACGGTCCGAGGAATAAAACACCTGCGCTCGATGAAGGACGTCTGACCAAGCGTGATGGTCGAGGAAGGGGCAGAGGGGGAAGCTGGAGCCACCAGAAAGAAAGAGACGAAGAAAGAGGGAGAGAGAGAGGAAGAGGGAAGGGGGTGGGAGGAGCTTGGATGGCCTTTCACAATACGCACTTTGTCGATCAAGGCTCTTTCATTGATCAAGTGACGTTCCCCTGGCTGACTTCCAGGTGTTTACACAAGGCAGCGCCGCAAATCACGAGGTACTGGTTTGTCTCTCGAATTCCTGGGTAATGAGTGTCTCGCGGGCACTCGCTTCGTCCGAGCCGTGTGCTTTTGGTTCGAGTGCGTGTAGCTGTTGACGGACTCCGGTCCGGCGGTGTGCGGTGATGAGGCGTTGGTGAGCCGCTAGACCCTCTTCAGCTATCATCATCCCGATGCCTGCCACGCGCTACGCACGAAGGCGTAAGGGTGTCATTGGAGACGATTAGGGGTGAGAAATACGTGCCGGGCGGGCGCCGCTCCGCTGTTCTGCTTAGGGTCCGCCGGGTTCCAACGGGCGCTGTCAGCAGGACGAGGCAATGACACATTTGTTTCGTACCGCTTAAAAACAAACATCACCCATTGTTAAAATAAAAGAACACAAAACAAGTAATACGTTTTAAGATATGCTTTGTGTGTTGAAAACATGTACATTACAAGAAGTTATTCTGCAATTGAATATAAAAAAAAAGCCCGCTGTGCATCTTAACGTTAGTTTTTTTGCTTACGAGATAGAGTTTTGTTGGTGGCTCGAACTACCCACGAAACATAGATTTTCGCCAGTGGTTCCAATATCAAGACACCTGAACAGGAGATTTAAGATAAAATTCAGATAAAAAGGTAACTAAAACTCTAGGTTTTTTTTTTTTCTATGATGAACATATTACTATATATTTAGCTCAAATTGTTGACCTGATGGCGCGAACCTGAAACGCTTTCTTGAGGTGCGTTTCTAAACTATGTATGTTTAGGCACCCATGAATTCTCGCACTTCAAAAACATTTAAATCGTCACGTCACGTCAACTATTTTACGTTAGTTTGTTTTTTCTTATCTCTTTATGGGGTTTATGACATCCGTCCAAGATAGCCACAAAAATGTGTTATATTACTGAGCAGCGTAAACGTATTTAGAACTCTGTAAACGAATTCCCGCATAATAAGGATGTTAAACACACACACACTGTAGAGCTGTTCGCTTATGCCTACACTTAGTAAGGGGGGTGTTGGTAAAAGCGAACAATTTAATAGTGTGGTCTAATTATCTACAAGGACTCGCTTTTGCTCTCTTTTTTCTCTTCCTCACCTCTCTATATTTTTTTTCTCTCTCTCTTCTATTTTTTTCTTCCCCACCATTGCGGTTCCATCCACCATCGGTGCTATTGAGCACTTCCGAGGTAACAATACTGCGGTGCTGGATTTTCTATAGGTATAGCTACTTGCGGTCAACGAGGGGTACAGTCTGGACTGGAGATCGCCAGCGTTCGGTCGCCACTCGTGCTGAGTCAGTGAGAACACCAGTACCGCAGTAGCGCAGTAGTCATCTCCAATCTTTGGCCCTCTTTGCCCTCCGATAGCTGGCAGAAAATCTAACACTACAGTATTGTTATCAAAGAAGTAGAGCGCTGCTGGCCCTCTCCCCTGAGCTTTTCTTTAAATTTATACACTTTTTTTCCCCCCTTTTCGCTACCATGGTAGGGGGGAAACGACGGGATATTTTGCCTCGCAAAAGATACAGGTCGTGCGTGAAGTTTCAGAGAGGTGTCATATTGTACGAAACCAAGAGCAGCCAGCACCGCTTCTGAAGTTATGTTCGAGCGTATCGTGCGGTTCACTGTCGGAGGAAGTATTTTTAGAATAAAACATAAGACACGTGACTGGTATGGGCGACCGAATTAGATTACTTTATGAAACTAAATATATACAGGATGTTTCCTGGAAACGCGGGTACTTTCGCTCATGCAAAGACGACGCCGCATCGCAAAAAAAGAAAAGCAACAAAAAACACACACACACACACACACACAAAAGCTTCATGCCGTAGTGGTTCGTATTAAAGGGCCGAAAGGGCCAATTGAGAAAAATTCTTAGCGTTCAATATAATTGAGTGATTAATTCATTTCGAGGGATCTTAAATTGTTAATTATTAATTTTAAAGGGATAGTTTCAATTAAAATCTTGCTGGGCATCATCGACAACTACTAAATGCGCCCACATCACAATGATATAAGGCGCGCGCAGCATTTTACGGCGTTCCGAGAAAACGCTAAATTTAAACGGGTTTGTGGGTTTATTTATTTATTTTTTTTTTATCGGAGCGCATTTTTGCGCAAGCAATCCCGGACCCGTCTCTAAAGCGCGCGACGTGCTTGCGCCGCCACGTTTCGCACATAACGGTGAGTCTTCACACTGGCACCGACGTCAAAAAAACAAACCTCATCTGACAGTCCGGACGCTTTCCTATCTTGCCTCTTCTGCGTGCGATGCACGCACGCACGCACGCACGCACGCACGCACGCACGCACGCACGCACGCACGCACGCACGCACGCACGCACGCACGCATGCATGCATGCACGCACGCACATATATAGAGATATATAGTTCAATCACTCGTTCACGTCATCAATTAAAATGGCAAGCAAGAGAGCAGGAACTATTCACACAGTACCGTTCGATGTAGTTTTGCTACGTTTTCTTACGTAGATTTGGGATGCGCCCGGGAGTCATCAGGACATCCGAGCTTCGCATGTCGGTTGGAAAGCTACCCCTTGAACTTGTTACCACGCTTCGTACGAAGCAGAGATGTTTCGGTGACTCGCGATTGTAACTCGACATAAGCCGTCATAATTTACGTAGTCAAACGCAGCCAGCCGGACACGACCACGACTCCAAGAGTGACCGGGATATTTGTGCATCCGGCACGCCAGGCTACTTCTTGAATTGGTTTCCGCGTGGCATACGAAGCACGGATGTCTAAGTTACTCGCGGTCGTACCTCGAAGTACGTTCTCAAAACGTGGCACGGTGCAGCATGAGAGGGTATTTCCAGTTATCCTTATTTTAGCGCGAAACGAAATTCTAGCGTCGAACGTGCACGCACAATCGCTCTGTGCCACCCATTCGGTAGAAAGCTCGGTAGAACATGCCAGTCCAGGAGCAGTACACGTACCTCGTGGGAGAAAGTATTCCCGTCGATGATGGTAATGATAGGGCTGGCGACCGTGGTTGGGTCATCGTTGACCGCGGTCACCAGAGGTTCCAGCCACTGGCGCGTCGCCTCGCAGTGCGAGTCGAGGAACACGAGCACATGTCCGGCTGCCTCTTTGGCACCCACGAGCCGAGCCCGAATCAGTCCTTCTCTGCGGGGCAGCCGCAGGAGCTTCACGAACCCCGGTCGGAAGTGCCTCTTGAGGAACCGGTACAACTGTCCCTTGACCTCAGGAAGGTCGCTGAAGTCGTCCACCAGGATGACCTCCCTGAGGATCCTCCTGGGACTGCGGTTCACCACGCTGTAGACGGTTCGGAGAAGCGCCGACAATATCTCGTTGTAGAAGGTGATGACCACGCTGACGGACGGCAGGTCCTTCGGGAATCTTAGAGCTTGGCAAGGAAGGGGTCTCAGATCGGCCAGGGACCGGTTCAGAGGAATGCGGTCGCTCACGTAGACGTTGAAGCCGGCCTTGCTGAACTGCGCGTCGGCCTCTTTCTTCTCGGCGCCGCCCAGGTACACTCCTTGGCCCCCGGAGCCCCAGTATTTGCGGAACCTGGCCATGAACTGTAGCTCTTCGGCGTCCTCTTCTACGACCTCGTCCGGATCGCCGTCAATGCCTGGATGTGGTGTGATGAGGGCATCGTAGACGTCGTCGTGGTGCGGACGTGGCAGTTTTGAGGTGTCTTCGGATACAGTGGAATGGCGCCTGTCATGGATGCCTCGCTTCTTAGAGGCGTACGACGACCGGTTTGCGGACCAGACGCTCGTCCAAAGGATGAAGAAGGTGACGGCAATCATGCAGGCGACTGACACCTTGAGGACGAAGCGAGAGCGACGACGTCGCCCACACATCCGACGCATCATGTACAGCTGGACCACAGAGTGCATGAATCTGTAAAAGACAAAACTACAGACCCCTATCAACACTCACGTGCCGATTCAAATAAAAAAAAAAAATCTGATCCACTGCGCAATAGTGAGACCACCGACACAGCGGAGCGTGCAAGTAGCGCGAGTGAGTAGCTTCGACTTGTGCTCCAGTTTCTCGTGCAGCCGGGACGCTATCGAACACAAGAAGCTCGCACTTGTGTCCACCATTGTGCAGGGATTTCAACAGAGGGCCCGCTTTCGAAAGGGGTCGAAAGTCCTTTTATGGTTTAGCGTGCACGCAAATCCTGCGTTATTTTTTTTTTCTATTTGCAGTGTTTTTTTAGTTATTTTGGTCGCGAGTGCTGATCGTGAAGGCTACAGCGAAGAACTAAACTCTACTTCATTTTCCTTTAACTATAACTTTGCACGCAGCGGGGGCCCCGGATGACCGAGCGCGAGATACAGGGCTCAGATGACACGCGGTAGCAGAGCCATCTCATCCTTACATATAAACAATAGCTCGCGCTTGTAGCCAAGAACACGAAGATCATTTCAGGCCAAATGCAGCCTTGTTCTTCTTTGAAAGTATTACTTATACAAAATTTTAAATACGCCCGCTGTGTTCAGAAATAGGCTGAATATGATCCAAAACATTCGTGAATGCCAATCGCACCTGACGGCTGTGTTTTTTGTTATAAACGTTCCACTCTGGCAAGCGCTCGTAGAGCAGCCCGGAAGATACCTGCTGGAAGATACCTGCCTACTGGACCGCTTGCAACAGTGCCGACATTGCTGTAAATAGATATACAGTAGCGGCCAAACCTAATCAAGTGACTGTGACCTCATCCAAGATGCCTTCTCTCCTTCTTTACCTTTCTAATCATTTCTTTTTATTCCCTCTTCCCCTATCCCCAACCTCGAACTGGCTTTCCCCCAATCGACGGTGTGGTTCATACGTTCCAAGCTTCCTTTCTTTTCAATACTTCTCTCTCTCTCTAGAGCAGCCAGCGAGAGCACGTGACATCCGGCGCAATCGTGGTGTAGTCTGTCTCGGGACAAGCAAAGCTGCGGCGCAAGGCTGACGTCGACAAGACGATTGCATGCAGGGCATCTGGCCGCCGCCATGTCTCTGCTCGTGTGGGCAAGTGCGTGCAAGCTTGTTAAAGCTACGTTCACGCGCACGCTGCACATGCTTGCGCGCATAGGGCACCCGGGACAATCATCGTGACTACCTGTCAACGTTTCTAGACGGACAGTGCAACGAGGCTTTCGCGACATCCATTAGGTGCCATTTGCTAATCGTTTAATTCGCTTTGAAATTCCTTTCTGCGGTGTCTTTTTCAACCAGAGATTAGGGTGCCTGTTGGGATAATTCTCTCTTAACACGTAATAGACTTAGAAATAAGCGCCAAAATTTTGTTGTAGTATCCCTTTAAAGCGATTGCCTTTCTTAGGACCATCAATCCACTTTGAGGTATGTTTCGTGCCGTTTATTCTTCCGGCTATATTTAGCGGAGAAAATGACGTTATAGGACTTAAGGTCACGTTACCTATACACAAAATCAGTTTCCCCGCTAGATTTCGCGGAAAAATTTACGTCAAGTAACCTTAACGGCAATTCAGTTTCCCCGCTAAATTTAGAGAACAAAATGAAGTCACATGACCAAGTCACGTGACCTATACAAAAAATCAGTTTCCCCGCTAGATTTAGAGGAAATATTTACGTCACGTGAGTCGTCGCGCGACGTCACGCGACCTACAAAAATTCAGTTTTCATGCTAGATGTAGCGGTAAAATCTACACCACGTGACCTCAGCGACAATCTAGTTTTCCCGCTAAATTTAGAGGAGAAAATGACGTCACATGTCTTGGTGTCATGTGATCTACACACACCTTCGTTTTCCCTCTAAATGTAGCTGGAAAATTGACACGTGACCTGTCGCGGCTCTTTCAATTACGTCTGCAGCTTACAATAGACCCTTTACAAAAGTCCGCGCCGACGCCCGTCCGCCATATTGCTTGCTCACCTACTGTGAGCGTGTATTGGACACGAGGGCTCCGCCAGCATTCGGCGTGAACTCGGCTCAGCTCGTACGAGAAACGAGCGCTGCGTCAGCGTTTTGCGAGGACTCGGATCCAATCACGCGCTTCGTCAGCAAGTAATGGTGACCGCCAGTGTTGCTCGATGGACTTTTGAGAAGGGTGTAACATAGTGGGTTCTGCCCGAATTTTTTTAACACAGAAAAGATCACTTACCGGGTGTATGGGAGAAATAAAAACCATGTTTCTCTCAACGCAAGAATGTGCCATACATATCGCCGTGCGCTTCGTCTCCACTCAAATGTAGCGTTAGCGGTTTGAACCACAATCCAAAATGTGACAACTATAAAGCGCCTTGTCTGGTTCCAAAGTTAGCCGCAAGTTTCGGGAATTTTCAATGGGAGAATGAAATGTATTCCCGGGAGCGTTCGCCACTTATCTCCAGGTATTCGCGGGCTCCACGTTAATCGCCATTTTTTTTTTTTGATTAAAAATTGAAAAAAAAAAATCGCTTATAACTTCTTTTAAATTTATTTATAACAGTAACTTCTGAAAATTTGACATTTGGTGCCAACCGCTAGCGCTGCGCTCGGGCGGAGACTGAGCGCACGGCCATGCGTAATTTTTATTTCCGGTGAGCAAAACGGGGTTCTTTTTTCTCGCGAACATTTTACGTAATATGACCCAAATTACGCAAAAACAAAACGAAAAAGTTTGATACTTTTTTTGCTTTCGGTTTGGACGAAGTAGCTTTTTCCTCCTAAATTTGAGGGGGATATTGGTATCCGGTTGCGTTGTCCACCGCAGCTCGGAGCAAGTGAGTGAAGGCTCTCGGTTTTTGAAAGAAGGAATCATTACTGCATGCATGTATACATGCAGGCTTGATCTCCGCCCCTGCCCATTTCGATCTGGATAAGCATCGCACCGACGGGCGGAATTATGCGATCACTAATGTCCGATGAACTTTGAAAACCCCAGTTTAGTAGTCGTATACTTCACTGGCTGAATTTATCATCTGGGCAGCTTGCTAGAATCAGCGTCTCAGCTGAGACGGGTGAGAAAAAGAAAATTGGGTTGCGTGTATGCTTATACAGCCTAGAACTTGGCCTGCCTTAGGGTGCCTCGATGTGCTTCTGCTTAGGGTGATGCCACCATTTGTAGTACCCGATGCCGACAGCACGCGCTCACGGGTAAATTACAAATAAATCTACGAAAACAAAATGTCGCCATAGCACAGTCAGCGCCACAAACGCGTGCCGGGACACACTCTTTCACGCGCTTTTGAACGAAAAAAAATAAAAATAAATTGTGGGACAAAATGGCCAGATGTCTCCACCCTAAGCAAAGCGCACATGAAGGCACCCTATAGCCTGCCTCAACGGGCGACGAGTCTCCCAGATGAGCAATTTAGCCAGTGCAGTACAACCGCTAGCCTGGGGTCTTTAACGTGCACCACGCAGTAGTGATACACGACCGCACGCCGGTGCGAAGCTCATCCAGATCGAAACGGGCAGGGGTGCGGATTGAGCCCAGGATCCTGGGTTCCACAGCCCGAGCTTTCGCTCCACGTGCTCCGAGCTGGTGTGCGCTAGACCACTCGGCCACCGATCCCCCCTAGGGTGCCTTCATGTGCGCTTTGCTTAGGGTGGAGACATCTCGCCATTTTGTCCCACACTTTTATTTTTATTTTTTGTTCAGAAGCGCGTGAAAGAGCGTGTCCCTGCACGCGTTTGTGGCGCTGACTGTGCTATGGCGACATTTTGTTTTCGTCGATTTCTTTGTATTTTCCCCGTGAGCGCGAGCTGTCGGCATCGGGTACTACAAAGGGTGGCATCACCCTAAACAGAAGGACATTGAGGCACCCTAATCCCCCCGAGATGGGTGAAAGAAAGCACTGCCAAAGCTAGCGCGCGCGAGCTGAGCTTTACTTGAACCGCTTCTTAAGACGCTCGCGCGTCCCAGCCATTGCAGTGCTTCTTTCACCCAGCTGAGACCTAGCAAGCCGGCCCATACGCCATTTCAAGGAGGTCTTGCTTCCTTTTGAGCCTGCGCATACATACAACAGATTTTTAATATAATAGACCCTTTACGAAAGTCAGTCTACCCACCTTGTGCAGAGCCAGACCCGACGCTCTAATGGCGGAACTACACTGTTTCTCCACACCAGAAAAATCTAACGTCTTCGAAAGCATAGAGCAGAAAAAGGAAAAGATGTTGGTCCTTTCACGTCACCTTCGATGCACGGAATCGAGGGTGTTTGATTTAGCCGCGCATGATCTCCTATCACCGCCATTAGAGCGGCAATAATGGAGCTTTTTATACTGCCACAAGAGGACTCTGACTTTTGAAAAGGGTCTATACTATGCTTCGCCTCACCTTAGCACGGGCTGTTGTTAGGCGCGCATGCTCAAATCACGAGCTAGTTGCTTTGGATGAAGCCACGGCGGCTGCGCGAGCGCTCGTGCAGCGAGTGCTCCAGTCAAGACAGTCAAGGCTAGCCGCTCGCGCTTGCACAGCCCTTGCAGTTAGTCTATGCTATGGTGGGAATGAAGTAATGTCCGGCCGCAAGTCGGCAAGCCAGAGTGGACAGGCTCGAAAGGTTGGCGCATCTATTAGCGCCGAGATGTTTCGGTGGCGCCCTCTTATGGTTTCCCTCCGTGACGTCACGACCCGGATTTGCCTCGCCGTGACGTCACCAGTTGATATTCTGGCTACTTACCATCGGGTGCGACGACGAGTTCGATGGTGTGTTTAAAAACCACAGTAGAAGCTAGAAGCCATCGCAATCCGAAACTAACACCGTCAAAGTTGAGAATCTGACAGTTCTCATATACCCATGGTTTGGCCAATCGTGGCAAGCTGACCGCAGCGACGCTTTTGGCCGCGCACATCGCTAATAAGTGACGGCAGCAACCAGACAACCGGCAAGACGATTGTCTGGTTGCCGCCGTCGCTCATAGATGGAGGTAGCTATCCATAGTTCTGTGTTGACATTTGTTTGCTGGCGGACACGATACTGGGGAAAGAAGCCCTTAACAGATCCGCTGTAAAACACCTGTAAAGTTGAAACGTATACCTAAGTGACGTGCGAGTTGTAAGTACCTGCACAACGTAAAAAGGAAGACTCCTACAGTATGTTAAGGGCTGGGGGACGGAAAGGCTGGAGACCGAGTTTGGGCTATATGGATGACGAT